TTTAGTTGTCCAGATAATTTATTTCTATTTTTAGTAGAGACAGGGTCTCGCTCTTGCTCAGGCTGGTCTCGAACTCCTGACCTTGAGCAATCCACCTGCCTCGGCCTCTCAGAGTGCTAGGATTACAGGCGTGAGCCACCGCGCCCAGCCCCTGCTATTCTTCACAAATAAAAAAAAAAATTTCTGATAAAAATGTTTATACACGGAGACAACCCAAATGTCTATCATTTGATGATGAATGGACATTGTATAGTATATTAATGGAATATTTATTCAGCTATATAAAAGAATGAAGTACCAATACATGCTACAACATAGATCAATCCCAAAAACATCATGCAAAGTCTAACAAGGCAGACACAAAAGACCACATATACATTTATATGTCCAGAATAGGCAAATCTATAGAGACGGAAAGTAGATCAGTGTTGCCCAGGACAACCGGTGGGGGGAATAGGAAGTGACTGCTGAATGGTTATGTGGTTTCTTTTTGGGGTTATAAAAATATTCTGAATTAGAGAATGGAAGAACATTGTCAATATACTAAAACCCACTGAAATGTACACTTTAAAATAGTTAGAGGCTGGGTGCAGTGGTTCATGCCTATAATCACAGCGCTTTGGGAGGCTGAGGCAAGAGAATCCTTTGAGGCGAGGAGTTTGAGACCAGCCTGGGCAACATAGTGAGATTCCATCTCTCCAAAAAATTTAAAAAATTAGCAAGGTGTGGTGGATCACGTCTGTAGTCTCAGCTCCTGGAGAGGGTGAGGCAAGAGGATCGCTTGAGCCCAGGAGTTCAAGGCTGCAGTGAACTATGATCATGTCGCTGCATTCCAGCCTGGGTGGCAGAGGAGACCCTGTCTCAAATGAATGAATGAATGAATGTACAAATAAATTAGTTAGAATGGTGAATTTTACATTATGTGAATTTTATCTCAAAAAACCAAAACAAAACCCTAAATGCTCAGTAAGTGTCAGCTGTGAGGATAAAGGCACAAGATGACTGTCATCTGTGGCCCGGCTTTGTGTGCATGCACCTTTCTCAAGAAGATACAATCCATGATATGAACTGTTCACGAAACAAATGGGGCACAGAAGGGCAAGGTTCCTCAGATATCTTATTTAAAAATTGTTCCACATCCATGAAATGCAATGCTATGCATCATTTAAAAGAATAAGATAGAACTTTATGCAGTGTAAATCTCCAAGATACACTATTATTTGGGAAAAAAAAAAAAAAAGCAAGGGAAGAACAGTGTCTAAACTATGAAGTTTAAAAAGGGATGAAGGAGGTAGATACACTGGGCTGTCCTGGAAAGTATCCAGCCATCGTATCCATGTAGCCATCGTGTCCATGGCTGGATACTTTCTAGACAGCCCTCCTATATGCTTGTATGTGTACACAATGACCCAAGAAGGCCACCCAAAAAAACTGCTAAGAGTGGTTGCCTCAGGAGATAAGAACTAGGGAGCAAGAGTTGGGGGATAAGGGATAGAAAGGTGGAAGGGAGAGTTTCATCTCAGTGTGTACCCTTTTATACCTTTTGAATTTTGTGCTATACGCATATAATATCCACTTGAAAAGTAAAGTTAATAAAACCCCAGTGGTTATCTCGACATAATGGAATACTGTAGGAAACGAGAATGAACCATCTACAGCTACACCCAACCACATGCAACAAACAACACTGAACAAGAGAAGCCAGACACAAAAAAGTACACACTGCATGATTTCATCTACACGTAGTTCGAAACCAGGCACCTACAGTATTCCGAACCAGAGGTTGTAATGGCCTTTCTTACACTCTAGAATATAGGAAAACAAAAGGAGATGCTGATGAAGTTGTTCAAGATGGAGTCAGAGTGTTCATTGAAAAGAAAGCACAGCTCACACGTTTAGGAACAGAAATGGACTATGTTGAAGACAAATTATCCAGTGAGTTTGTGTTGAATAACCCAAACATCACAGGAACTTGTGGCTATGGGGAAACCTCAGCACTCCTCTGGCTGTGAGCTCCAGGAACACTCATGATGCCTTGGGGCTTACTGAAGAAATCATGTGACTGTCACCTGCTTAATGTGTGGTTGCCTTGTAAGGAAAATATAATGATGCATTTTGAAAAAAAAAAAAAATGGTAAAAACAAATTTAAAACACCAGAGTAGAAAACTGAGTGATTAGAAAACCACCAAAAAAAACAACAGGAACGTGTCCCCTTGCTGTTGAACATCTCTTCTAAAGAATGCACTTCCGGTGAGGCACAGGACTTATAGCTGGACCACGTCCCAGCCATCCCCTCCGGCCCAGGAGTGGTTGGCAAAGAGGCTGGGATTCCCCGCCAACAGGTGATGGGTTGGTGACAAAGCCTCCTGTGGCGACAGCAAACAAAAAAGGTGTGTGGGGTTGTCACGAGCCGAGAGCTGAACCCTGTGTGGTAACATCTAGATGTTGCATAACAGTGTTTGAAGGAGACAATGCAGGGTAGTAGAAAAACTCACAGATGAGCCTACTGCCTTGAAGCCCAGAAACTTCAAAAGAACCAAATGAGCATTCAGTGAATTCAGTTACCCCGTATATTGGCAATCGCCACATGTAATCAGACATTCCAAAGGGTCTCTGACACGGGCTCAGTTTAACAACTGCTGCAGTGCTGGTCTCCCTGCTTCTGCGCTTGGCCCCTGCAGTTTGTTCTCCACACGGAACCAGCGGGATCCCGTGAAGACCTAAGTCAGATTGTGTCCCTCTGCTCAGAGCCCTCCAGTGGCTCCCGTCTCACCCAGTGTAAAAGCTTAAGTACTTACGATGGCTTTCCAGGCCCTAAGTGTTTTAGGGGACTTCCACCCCCACTCTCCTACTTCTCTACCCCTGGCTAACTCCACCCCAGCCACACCGGCCTCCCTGCTGTTCCTCCAACGTGCCAGGCACAAGCCTGCTTCAGAGTCTTTGTCTCCTCCCCAGATACATGCATAGCTCATTTTGTTCAAATGTTATCTTCTCAGGGAGGCCTTCTCTGACCTTCCCATTTAAATAAAAACCTCTTGCCACTGCTCCACCCCTAGCTGAGGGACTCCCATTGCTCCCTGCCTTTTTTTTTTTTTTTTGAGACAAGAGTTTCACTCTTTTGCCTCAGCTACAGTGCAGTGGCATCATCATAGCTCACTGCAACCTCAGACTCCTGGGCTCAAGCGATCCTCCTGCCTCAGCCTCCCACGTAGCCGGGACTACAGGTGCGCGCCACCATGCCCGGCTAATTTTTCTATTTTTTGTGGAGATGGGGTCTCGCTCTTGCTCAGGCTGGTCTCTAACTCCTGACCTCAAGTGATCCTCCCACTTCAGCCTCCCAGAGTGGTAGGATTACAGGCATGAGCCACTGTACCTGGCCCCCTATTCTCCTTAATAGTTTGATTTCCTCCATAGCACTCATCATCTGACATATGTTTTACTTATCGATGTGTCAGTCTTTCCCTACTAACATGAATGCTCCACATGACTGAATATTTGTCTTGTGCTGTACACTGCTGTATAGGCGCAGGACCTAAAACAGTGCTTGGCTTATGGAAGGCACTTAAGAAATACTTGTTGAATGAATGAATGAATCCATCATCTATTCCCAAGTCTGCAGGTCCTAGCCCTGTGCTGACAACGTCTATACCTGTCTCTAGCTCCATGTCTAATCCCTAACTATGGGGATCAGGAGGGATGGCACCCCTTGGATGTCCCAAATTTACATCAAACCTGGACATTCCAACTGAAACGCAAGCTGCTCCTTCTATGTGTGTCCCATTTTGGCGACAGCTGCAATACTCCCTCAGTCTCTCCCAGGCCAGCAAATCCTGTGCCTCACCACTCTGGCTCCCTCATCCCCCATGTCCTATCTCTTCTGCCTCCAGTCTCTCTGTCACCACAGCAACTGGGGTAACAGAACTGAAGGTGACTTCCCTGGTGTCACCTGACCATAAGAGAGCCCAGTAGAATCATCACCGAGTAATAAACATGAATCCCTCCCTTTACACAAACACCTACGTGTTGACAGAGCACTTTAGCAGACATTATGTCAGTGAATTTTCGCAACAACCCTGGGCTTGGATGCCATTATTCCCAATGGACAGATGAGAAAACAGGGTTAGAGAAATGAAACAATTTGCCTGAGGTCACAGAGTAAGGAGAGCTGGGGACTCGAATGCAGCTCCCAGGACTAAACTGTCAGCAACCTGTATCTCCCACAGTTTACAAGATTGGCTGTCAGGCAAGTTGCATAACTTCTTTGGGCCTCAGTTTCCTCATCTATAAAATGCGGATGAAAACAGACCCTAGGTCATGGGGTTTTTATGAGGATTCAATGAGTTAATCCATTTGAGGTGTACAGAATGCTGACTGGCAGGTTGTAATGTTGAATAATATTAGCTTTCACTATTATTCTTATGTGAGAGATTTAGGAGATGCTTAAAATCCTAAAATCATTACAAAAATTTTGTGAGTCTGTGTATTTTTCCTGGCAACAGAATCCTCAGCTTCTCTCTAATTATCAAAAGGCTCTGTGACCCAAAATTTTTTCAAAACCACTGAGCATGAGAGAGAACAAGAATATGTCCAATATCAAACACAATCATATAAGCCTTGCTTTCCCAACCTCCCTGCCCCAAAACCCCTACATTCAGAACTAAGGAAATGTGGCCAAAATCGAGAAAGCCAGTATGACGCAGTGGTTAAGAGAACCAACACTCAGTTGTGGGCCCAAGTCTTAGCACTGTTATTTACTAGGGGTGACAATGGCCCTTACATCACACCACTCTTGTGAAGAGCAAGATTATGCAGGTAAAACAGCCAGGCCACCACCTGGCAAGGAGCAGATCCTTAAAACGCATTTAGCTCTCTTCTCCCACCAGCTTCTCGTCCCTGACAGGAACAGCCTGTTTGGAATTCTATGATCTTTTCTGTTTGTCTCCCTCCAAATTCACAGGGCTGTGGTTTGGATTCGGTGAGAGCATGCCCAGTATGCACTCGGAAAGAACCTAGCCAGCATTCCAGAATGGTAGCTTACGCTGGCCTCTTATTTCCCCTCCCTACACTTCAGTTTCCCCCTCTTTAAAATGCAGTCATTGGCTTAGATGACCTCCAGGACACCTTCCGGCCCTGAGCCCACTGACTTTAGGAGGCAGGATACACTGCAATAATTCATTCCGTTCCAGCTGAAGAAACTAGGGCCTAGAAAGTAGAAGCGACCTACGCAGGCGGCGCACTGACTCCTGTGGTCATCCCGGACCTAGTCCTCCTTGGGTGTCCTTTCTACTCTGCTGAGGGGCACAGGAATTGTGCTGCCCATTTTCCAGGTAAGGAAGCTGAGGCCCAGAAGGGAAAGTGACTCAACCCACTGCCAGTTGGCTCAGGAGCAGAATCTGGATCCTGGGACTCCAGGCTCCTAGTAAAGAGGTAGGGGTGGGACAGGATCACCTGTAGGACCACAGAGATGGTCTTCTCGCCTGCCTTGGCTGCCCGCCATTTTCGGTAAGTGTCTGCCTTGAGAAGGTTTTCTGCACAGTGGGTCTGGAAACAAGAGTGTGAAAGGAGAATTAGGGCACAGAGAGTTAGGCCTCCAGCTCTCAGATTAGTTCGCGACCTCCCGCGCCCAGATTTAAACTCCCCCGTTAATCCTCCTCCACTCTGCCCACAATACGTTCCCCTGGAAGTTCACCTATGGGCTCTCCAAGGAAGCTCCCCTAGTCTTCCTTTTCTCTCCTGAAGTTCCACAGACGCCGAAAGTTCCCTAATTCCACATGTCTCCCAGAATTCACTTTTAGCTTTCTGGAAATCTCCCCATGACCCTCCTCAGACTTCCACGAAGAACCCCAAAAGTTCTTTTAGAGCTACTCTCATTAATTCCCTTATGTCTTCCGACCTCCCCCACGCCGGTCCCTCACCGAGTCCTGGCTGCTGCAGGACACGACGTGGCGGAGGCGGATCTCCGGCATATCAACGTCCTGGGCTCCTCCAGAGCCGAAGGATGAGGAAGGGTCCGGGTTTGGGGGGCGGAGAGGAGGTGCTCCCTGCGCGGGCTTAAGTGCGCAAGCGCGCGAGGCTCGGGCCTTTCAAACGACGGCGCGCCGGCGCCGCGTCAACACCGCGCAAGCCCAGTCTAGCCTCTCCGTGGAGGGCGGGGGGGGGGGAGGGCTCTGTGTTCCCTAGCAACGAGCTTTTTCTCCAGCCCCGCCTCTCTTTGGCCCCACCACTCTCTAGCCCCTCCTCCTGATGACGTCCACACCCTGCTTTCTGGGCGCCTAGCAACAGCAGCGGCCTTCGGGATTGGTGGCTAACAGAAATTCGCTATTCTCATTGGACGAGACAGTCACCGCCCAAACTGAAACCTAGAAAGCAGGAGGACCACAAACCTGAATGAATTTTTTCACTGGAAGCCAGGATCCCACTGCGGCAGTGACGGCATCTCCCCCACTGGCTCCTAGGGCTACACTCTTCCCCATCTCCCCTTTCCCGCCCCCTACACAGAAAATATCTCAGATCTCACTCAGCCTTATGCCTGAGGCCAAGAGAGAGTGAGTCAAGGTCCTAAATAAAACACAAAGCATGCACCCAAACCACACACTCACACAGACACCCAGCCTAGAATGCGTCCACAAATGCCTCAGTTTCCCAATATATGACCCGTGGGCATCTGTGTCCTACCACGCCTGCCTCTGGCCGCTGACAGGCACCCGTTTGTTCGGTCCCCTCAAGACCAAGGGTGCAGCCTTGGGCGAGTCGGAGCCGGAGACGGCCCAAACACAGAAGAAGGAGTGTGAGCCAAGCACGTGAAAGAGAAGGGGAGGGAGACGAGGCGCCCAGCCCCCGCAAGACGAGCCTGGACATGCTGGGCGCTCCCAGGTTGGGGCCCACCCACGCTGGGTGCCTCCTTGGGAAGAGAGAGAAGGAGCGGAGATCCCAGTCCCTGCAGCTGCTCTGCACCTGCGGGAAATCAAGTGACCCAATCCTGACCTTGGTCTCCCAGAAAACAAAAAAAAAAAAAAAAGAAAGAAAGAAAAGAAAAACGGGAGGGGAGGGGAAATGGGTAGTGGGAAGGTGAGAAAATAGGAAAGTGACCTTCTGGGTCCTGATGGAAGAGGGGGCTGGAAGTCTAGACTCCTGGGTCCCCCGTGGAGAAGGGGGCTGGACACAAGATGCCTAGGTCCCTTTTGGATTCCAGTTCTGCCTCCCCAACCCACAGGCCACAGAGGACTGCTCTGGGTTCTGACCTCAGCTATTTCTCACCTCAGGGAGAAGGTGGGTCCAGGCCCGCCTCTCCTTAGCTTCATATAAGGGCTGGGGACCCGGGAGTACAGGTTCACACACCATGAGTTCCTCTACAAGACCAGGGACCTTTCTGCTGACCTTCATGACGCTCTGCACCCTCCTGGGTCTCGGTGAGTGACAAGGAGGTCCCTGGATTCCTTCCTGGGACCTCAAGAAAGGAAGGACTGGGAGAGGGCATTCAGCGAGGTCCTCAAGGGGGTAAAGGGAGGCATCCTGGCCATTCAGGTTCCTGGAGAAGGCAGAGGGTAAAGGAAAAGGAAGCCTAGGGCTCCAAGGGAAGAAAAGCTCATGTGATTGGACCCCTGAGAGAGGGGGCTTGGTGGGCTCTCTATTCTCTGTCCCTAGTCAGGGTCCCAAAATAAGACACCTGAATTCTAGGAAATCAGATGAAAACGTAACTAGAAAGAGAAACATTTTTTTTTAATAACAAAAAAATAGCTGGTATGGCAAGACCAGCCTGGGCAACATAGTGGGACTCAGTCTCTAAAATAACAACGATAATAATGATAAAGGGGGGAGGTATTTTCTTTCTCCCTGGACTCTAAGGAGTTCATGCCCCAGTCCCCTCCTCTCTTGGACGTGGGAGTCCAGGCAAGCCTCACTTTCCCTAGGATCCAGGTGTCTGGGCCCATAGTTGCCTCCTCTCATGGGACCAGGAGTCTATGCCCTCAGCCCTCCTGGTCCTCACCCTCCCTCCTTGATCTGGGAAGCAGACCCCAGCCTCAGGTGCCCCTGCCTGAGCTCCTACTGTCTACGAGACCTATGTGGTAGCTGCAAGGAGGAGAGTCCCACACCCAAGAACCAGCCGGACCTGAAGTTTCACAAAAGTCCATGGAAACCTTCACCTCGACCCCTCCCTGCCCCCGAGCTTTTTTGGAGGACCCTGGCGTCCAAAGTCCCCAGACTTGTAATTAGGCAAAGAGGCTTCTTGGTGGAGTCGCTTCCCGTCCCTGGAAGCAGCTTTGAGGGCATCACCACCGCTTCCTTGTCAGGCTCTAGACAGTTCCCTGGAGAGTGGTCAATACCTCGCCTGTAAAAAGCCAGGGAGACGCGGTCATTTCCTCCTTCGGGACCCAAAAGTCCATCTCCCTGCCCCCATCTCCCTCTGGACTCCAAAGTCAAAGTCATGATCCCAAGACTACACGACCCATGACTACAGCCCGTCCTCTACACCGCAGGTTGCCCACTAAGCTGTGAGGTGTGTAAGGGCTCCGGGCCCACGTGCAGTGGAAAACTGAAGACGTGCGACGCTGGCAAGGACGCATGCGTGGTCCTCGTGGGGGAGTCCAGCACAAGTACGGGGCGTGGCTGGGGGGCAGGTGTACCTTCAGGGTAGAAGATCCCACCACGGGGTGGGGGTGGGGGATAGGAGGGATCATTATGGCTTTCAGGTTGGGTGGGCCATGGGAAGAAAATCAGAGGAAGGCAAGAAAGAGAGAAAGACCATCTCGAGATGGAGGGAAGAGAACTAAATGGTGAGATAGAAACCATTGTGGGCTAGGCGCCGTGGCTCATGCCTGTAGTGCCAGCACTTTGGGAGGCTGAGGTGGGAGGATCACTTGAGCCCAGGAATTTGAGGCTGCAGTGAGCTGTGATCCCACCACTGCACTCCAGCCTGGGCGACAGGGGAGACTGTCTCAAAAACAAACAAACCAACCACACCAAAAATACCCAGAAGAGAAGGAACATGTTGGAGGGGGTGAGATGTAAGAGACTTTCTTAGGCAGGAGCAGGGCGAGAAAAGGCAGTGAGGGAACAGAGAAATAGTGAGAGGGAAAGAATCTTACAGGCAAGAGGTGGGGGCGGGGTGTAGAGAAGGAAGAGGATGGGCTGGAGTGTGGAGTGGGGGGACGTGATCAGAAAAGAGACCATTCCGGACAGGAGGAGAGACGATGCTGGGATGGGGGAGAGATAGAAAAGGGACCACCCCGGACAGGACAGGGAAGACAACCCCGAAGGATGGAGCACATTATCTTAAAGAGATACTTCTAGAAACGGGGCAGGGGGAGGCTGGTGAGTAAAAGGGAAGGGGGCAGAGGATGTGACTTACACGAAAGAGGTCAGGCCAGGCCTGGGAAAGGATGGGGGCGAAAGGGAGCCATGGAGGACATCCAGTTGTAAGAGGAGAGACGATGGGGCTGGGGAGGGAAGGAGGGCTGTGACAGATGAAGGGCGACTCTGAGTGCCAGAAGAAACCATCCGGGCAGGAGGAGGTGTGAAAGGAAGGTGGGAGAGAAGATCACAGCATGTTGGCGGGTGAGGGAAGGACCCAGAAGGCTCGAAGAAACCTCTCCAGGCATATGGCGGGGGGAACGGATCCTGGAGGAGGTGGGAGAGGAAGCTGGGAATAAACCACCCCTCAGTGGGGTAAAGAGAGGTCACCTTTTGAATCGGGTTGGGGGAGACCACCACGTGGTGGGGACCGCCTTAAACAAGGGAATAGCCAAGAGGGACAGCAAGAGATCATCGATGGGAGGTCTGAGGAGAGACACTGGAAGAATCGGAGAGAGAACAAGTGTTTTGAGGGCGGCATCCTGGGGTTTGTTGGAAGAGACTATGGGGCAGGGGCAGGCAGGGAGGGCAAAGTCCTCGAAGGCTGGAAGAGAACATGTCACACAGGCTTGGCGGTGGCTACAGGTGGTGACCTGAAAAAGACTACTTCTTGCAGGACAGGGAGAGAAGGGTGGTTGTGGGGTGGGATGGGGTGGGGTGGAAGAGACCACATCAGGCAGCCACTGGGGGTTGGCAATGGGGAGCTGCAGGGGACCACAGAGGCCAGACTGGGGGCTACAGCAACGGGAGGGAGCGCTACCTGATAAACCACTCTAGACCATAGCCCAGGAGATTAGGAGAGGTGTAGCTGTAGGGGGTTGCAAGAGACCACCCCAGGAAGTTACGGGTTTGGGGAGGTGTGGGATTAGGAGAGACCATGAGGCACTGGGTGGAGGCCAGGAAGTGGTCGGCCAGCGCCCCCTCCTCCTGCCCCCCACCCCACAGAGGGCCAACACTCGGTGAACACCTACAAGGCCTGTATGAAGTTCAGCGACTGCTACTCCGGGTTTGTGTCCACCACCATGAGCCCCAAGGACTACATGGTGTCCAACGCGCACTGCTGCCAGAGCGACGGCTGCAACCGCGGCTCCGTTCCCCGTAAGTGCCAGCTCAGCCTGACCCCGGGAGCCCGCGGCGCGTGCTCTGGCTCGCCACTGCCTGGCGCTGGGACATCGGGCAGGCGCCTTGCTTGCTCTGAGCCTCGGTTTCCTTACCTGTAAAATGCAGTGTCCATTAGCAACCCTGGTGCTCCCCAGGGTTTTGGGGAGTTCGGGAGGAGGGTTTAAACGTCCCCGTTCATTCACCTTACGCTTCCGCCTCACCCTCAGCTCCCCAGAACAATCGTACTGAGAACGGCCTGCTGTGCCCCGCCTGCATTGCGCCCTTCCAGGAGACGTGCCCAGGGACCCAGGCAGCCCGCTGCGTCGGCCAGGAAACCCACTGCATCTACTTCGCTGGCAATGTGCAGGCTGGTGAGGGGTGCCTAGATCTCTGGAGGAGGGGACAGGGACCCCAGAACTAAAGGCACAAACTTCTAGGTTCCAGGGAACCAAGGGGCTCTAGAGAAGCAGGTGAGGAGGTGGTTCAGGCCAGGATTCCCGGGTCAGGAGGGAGACGGGGCTGGAGTCCCTGGTTCCCATCTGAGATCTCCCTCCCAGGTATCTTCAACACCAAATTCGCCACTCGGGGCTGTGCTACAGAGAGTGCCTGCCACACCAAGGTTGGGGCTGAGGTGCCCTCAGCCTCCTATCTCTACTTTCTCCGCCGAGCAGACTGCCTACCAGCCCCCCAGCCCCCTGGCAGGGCTGAATGAAGAACCGAGGAATGTATGTGTGGCCTGAAGTTCCTGTCTGTCCTTAGCCTGCAGCTTCCGTGTGCCTATAAATTAAACGAGTTAACAGAGCAAGCTTTAGTCCTTGTGATGTGATACATCTTGGGGAGGTTGGATGCAGACAGTGGGGGTCTTAATCCTCTTTTACAATCCCCTCTTTTCAAAGAGGAGAGGGAAGACTGTCTTTTATTAAGGGATTGCTCCTTGCCAGATTCCTAGGCTAAGCATTTTTCATACTATTGCTCATTTCATGATCACGACAGCTCCATGAAGTTTATATTATTATCCCCGCTTTACAGATGAACAAACTGAGGCACAGATTGTGGGTGTCATTTGCCTTGGCTTTGGGTCAAACAGCTAGGAAATGTCAGAGCCCTGGTTTGAACCTGAGTGTGATAGACTCCAGGCCTGATCACCTTTCCTGATTAACCGCTCCCTCTTTTTGCCCCATTTTTCACGTCCACACAATGTAGATATTAATCGTTATAACCTCATAGGGTTGTTGTAAGAGTCAAATGAAAGGCAATTTAAACAGCACTTAGTGCAGTGCCTAGCATATTTAAGACTTTGCTGATTTTAGAGACAATATGTATGTCTGAGTAAATAGTAATCATTATAATAGCTTCCACTTACTGAGTGGCGATTAGTTGGCAGGTGCTAAACATTGACATCAATTGGGACAGAGTAGATGATGCTATAGTAACAAACAAGTCCCTAATCTCAGTGGTTTGAAATAACAACATCATAATAGTCAACTAACACTGCAATAATGCTGTGTAAAACATCGTTCCCGAACTGAAACTTATAATAACAACCATTCTGCTTTCTAAGGATTTGCAGGTTTCGCTCCAGTTTGGGAGGAGGATTCAGGTCACCTCTTTGGCATTACACAATCTTCTGTGATTAGTGGCTCCCTGGAAAATGTTCTCATGGCAGATCACAGGAACACAAAAGCCAAGTCTATTTGAAAAAAAAAAAATTATTGGTTTTTATTTTTTTGTTCTTTAGCCACCTCCTGCTAAGGAAAACAACATTTTTAAAATTGTGATGTTTTATTTGACACGTGTTATTGTTTAATCTTCAAGTATTTGGGGATTTTTCAGCTACTTTTCTGTTGTTTATTTATACCTTAATTCCACTGTGGTGTGAGAACAAACTTTCTATAATATCTATTCTTTTAAATTTGTTAAGGTGTGTTTTATTGGCCCAGAATGTGGTGTATCTTGCTGAATGTCCCATGTGAGCTTGAGAAGAATGTGTACTCTGCTGTTTTTGGATGAAGTACTCTATAATGTTAATTAGATCCATTTCATTGATGGTCCCGCTCATTTCAACTGAATCTTTACTGATATTCTGCCTGCTGGATTTGGCAATTATTGATAGGGTGGTGTTAAAGTCTCTAACCATATTATTGGATTCATCTATTTTTTCCTTGCAGTTCTATTAGTTCTTGCCTCACATACTTTAGTGCTTTGTTGTTAAGTGCTTCTACGTTAAGGATTGTTATGTCTTCTTGGAGAATTAATTCCTTTTTTACTATTATCTGTGACCCAGCTTAAAAAACATAGTTTCCTTCTTTCTTTATTTTTTAGAGACAAATAGGGTCTCACTCTATTTGTGAGTGAGTACAGGCTGGAGTGAGTACAGGCTGGAGTACAGTGGCAGGATCATAGCTCATTGCCCCCTTGACCTCCTGGCCTCAAGTGATCCTCCTATCTCAGCCTCTCAAGTAGCTGGGACTGTAGCATGCACCACCATGCCAGCTAATTTTTTTTTTAATTTTTAAAGATGGGGTCTTGCTCTGTTGCCCAGGTGATTAAATGCTGCAACCCAGAGGTGATGTGGCCTCATGTGATCCGCTTGCCTCAGCCTCCCGAGCCACAGGACCAAGTGCATTTAAGGCCCTTGCTGAGGCTAGGTCTGCTAACATTTTATTGATTAATCCTATGGCCAAACCCAACATCAATGGAACAGGAAAATATACTCTCCCTCCAGTGGGAGAGAGATGAATAGATATTTGCTGCATGAGTGTCCATTCACAAAATGTTAAACTTTCCTTCATGTTTAGCATCATGCACAGGGCATTCTGCTCATTATAGTCATAAAGCAGCAGCCACCAACTCTAAGGTGGCCAATGTCTGTGCCACAGGAAAGTCTCACATGCGTGATTAAATGCTGCAACCCAGAAGTGACTTTACAAGTCATTGGATGGAGCTAGTCACATGGCCCCACCCAACCACTTGGAGGCCAGAAGTGCAGTTCTGCACAAGATCAGAGCCAGAAAGCTGGACAGGTTTCATAAACAGCGCACATCACCACCACGGCCTCTGAGAGGCTGTTTCTCCTTTTATCTTCACAACTCTAGGTGATAGGCACTATTATTCTCATCCCTATTTTCAGGAGACAAAACTGAGCTCAGAAGAAGGGGTGTTTCGTTGAAGGCCACATAACTAAAAAGCAGCAGAACTTAAGATTTTCATCACTGTGTGATGTTGAGGGGGAGAAAGAGACCACATTACACAGAGAAAGAACAAGTCTGTATCAGTTTCTTTAGCTACGCAACAAACCACTCCAAAATGTAGCGGTTCAGAACAATCACCTTTATGGGTCAACATCTTGGGCTGGGTTCAGCTGGGCTGTTCTTCTGCTGGTCTCAGCTGGGTTCAGGTGCCAGTGAGCTAGGCAGCTATGTTTCAGAGATTTGGCTGGCTGTGGGTTGGGGGTCAGGGGGCGTCAAGGATGTTTGGGCCATGTGTCTCTTTATCACCCAGGAGGTTAGCCTGGGCTTCTTGATGGGGCAGTGATTGTAGGGGTCCCAAGGGCAGCAAGAGAGGGTGGCCCAATGCATGAGCACTTTTCAAGCCTCTGCTTGTATCATGGTTGCTGTTGTCCCAGGGACCAAAACAAATCACAAGGCCAAGTCTAGAGTTAGCATGAGAGGGACAATCCAAGGGCACGGCTACAGAAAGGCTGAACAAATTGAGGACATTCATGGGCTAAGATGGTTCCAGAGCTAAGGTGCTTTACCATACCAACTCCCGATGTCTAAACAGTCACTAAGTCCACCTGCGCCCCTTCCAAAGTGGCAAAACTCAGATACAGATAAAGACACTTGGTCCCAGCCCAGGGAATTTTTCCTGGACAGATTCCCCACTGTCCTTCCCATCCCAGGACAAAGGAGTCTGGGAGTCCAATTTTCTCCTCCGTCAGGCCCAGAAGTCCAGGGTTGCAGCTCAGTCAAAATCTCAAGCATCTTTTTTCCCCTACTTCGAATCCAAAAAGAAAAGACACACAATGGGATTTACACTCATTTTTATTCATTCCTCCAAAAAGCACCACAGGCCGACCACACCCTTGATGTGTTCTTCACGGTTCCCTACCACAATGGACACAAGTCCGTCCATCATTATCCAGAATGTAGGAAACTCAGCTATGGTGATGAGGTTGTCTCATCCACTGACCCAAGTTTTTTGTGTCTATTCTGCTTCCGGTGATGGCAACACCAACATTCACCATACATTTCCCACAATTCCTGCCTTCGAAGGTCTTCCAGCCCCATGGTGCTATGGAGACACACCCCAATGGCAGCCAGTGATCTGTCCCCAAGGGAGTCAGTCTTTTCTGCTTGAATGCTCCCAGAGATAGAGCCTCACTAGCAACCCTACACCTTCACAAAGCCTAAAAGTCAATCCTATCAAAAGTCATGATTTAAAAGGCAACCACCCCACAAAGTAGTTGTGACACTCAAAGGTGCCAATATACAATATACGCACAACCAGCACTCCTCAACAAACACAGACACGCACAAACACAATTGTCTTGCTTTCTCAGATATGATCTCTGGCAGGATTCTCCTGCTGACATAAGGGCAGAAGGAATTTAGAGCAGTGAAGCAGAGATGTCAGACAGGACCAAGTCAGAGATGTCTCAAAAGTGGCAGAAAAAAGAATGGGGCACTGTTGTGAGCAAAGGGATGGGGGTGGGACAGAAGGTTCCCAAACTCGAGTCATCTTGGTGCTGCCTGGGGCTGAGAGTGTGTGGGCAGGGACAACGGGACTCACGTTTGAGCTCCCAGTGTGCCAGGCGTCTCAGGAAAGGGTGCAGAATGTCGTGTGTGCGCAAACATGCAGGTGTGTACATGCATACGCTGAATTCGCACAATAACCCTGTGAGGTAGATGCCACGTGCTGCACATGTGGCCCTCCAGATGCCCAAGTGCTGAGATCTGATTGACAAATCCTTTATTAAAATTTGGATCCAGTCAAAAAATCACGCTCAAGGGTCCACAAGACCACATGTGGCCCCAAGGCCACAGGCTCCCCACTCTATACAAACAGAATTTCCTGTGATAATGGAAGTGTTCCATACCTGTACAGTCTGCTGCTGTAGCCACTAACCACATGTGGCTACTGCAACTGAGAAACTGAGTTTTACATTTTATTTACTTTTAATTAATTAAAAAATGCATACTCATTCAGTTACTGGAAAACTACTAAATATAACTGGGACAATTGGGCATTTGAATCTACTTCTCCAAATATGAATGTTATAAAATCTAAATAGAGGTCAAGCAATTCTACTTGAAACTTTATCATTTGAATTGAGCTATGGTGTAAGTGTAAAATATACACCAGGTTCTGAAGATGTGGCATCAAAGAACATAATGTAACTCATTAACTTAAAAAATATTGATCACGGCCGGGCGCAG